TTGAAATTTTCGATCGAAAATGTATTGTAATAATATATTAGGTGTGTGTATTAATTTCCTCCGCCGAATTCGAAAAGTCGNGGGGGGGGGGGGGGGCCTTCCCCTGCTGTTTCATTTCAAGAAAACTGGCATTGAAGCTCACCGGATGCTTTTCGATACTTCTGAAGGATAAGCCCCATCTGAACGAACCTGCTGAGATGGTTTCTCTTCACTCGAATTTTGCAACGAAAGCGGAATAGCCAAAAAGTGATGCTGTGCATTTGGTGGTGAGATCAAAAGGGTGTTGTGTACTATGAGCTGCTGAGCCCGAAGGAAACTGTTACAGCTGACGGCTACGAACACCAACTTAACAGTTTGTAGGATGCTCTCACCTAAAAGCGGCCGTCAATCGTAAGAAAATATCCTGAGGTGCTGTTCCACCACGAACATGTCAGAGCCCGTGTTGCGAAGAATGTCCTTAAAAAATTGCAGCTGTTGGATGGGATCAGCTTGTTCAGCCCGCATACTCTCCGGGTCTTGCTCTTTCTGATGACCACCTATACCGGTCCATGCAAGTCAGTTTAGCAGATACACGCTTCCGGAATGCCGAAGAAGTGCGAAAATGGGTGGTTAACTGGATTGCCTCAAAAGATGGAGATTTTTTTAGACCCGGAGTCAACAAGATACCAGAAAGATGGCTATTGGTTTATGTACGCTTTGTTTTAATTCTGTAATAAATATGTTTTTGCACGCAAAAAACGGCGGAAATTAATGCACACACCTAATATTAATGGGCAGGTTATTTCTTAAACAGTGACGCTATTCTATAGTTGTTTTGAAAGTTCTGCCGCATACCGACCACTGACCACTGCCCTTTGCCTATGAGGCCAAAAACGGGAAATTTTAACTGTAACACCTCTCAACCCATACAAGGCGCTCATTCGTTCAGATGCTGTTCCAAAATCTATACTATTTTAATGGGGCTAGGTTTGTGCTCGCCTCTCTAGTGTAAACAAGCTCTAAACTATTTGTCACCTTCATCTTCTTGTTTCAAAGGGCAGTTTGTTTTCTGAAATCGATCGGTAGACCTGCAAGAGGAGCTGTCAGTTGTGTAGAGCGATGAGTATGATGCGCTTTTTTTTTCGTACCGCAAAACAATTCACGTGCCTCCTATGCTATTTTGTTCTACGTACATTGCCCATTTACATAAGCATATAGCTCTTTTGTGTGCGGCAGATTATGCAAAAAAGTCAGGCTGAGTATTTATTGAGTGCAGGAGACGATTGACCATAACTAAACGACCGGGTGGTGAGGAATAGTGAAGGGTGTGTGGCGTGTCCCAAACGATTGACCCATGTATGTTTTAGAGTGGTGCTGAACGTAATCGATGCATTCTAAGATTACCGTCCATTCTAATATTGCATGGTGTGGTTCAGCATTTAGGCTTATCCATTCTGTTGCCAGTAGGGAGAATGAGTGAAGGGACGTAAAGAAAGGAAGGGAAAAGGGAAAGGAGTGAAAGGGTAAAAGGACTTTACCCGGCTGAGTAACTCCTCCTTTGCTGGAATCGATTTTCACTCGTAAATTTGAGAAGAGAAGGTTTCACAGACTGCCTCTGCGTTGAATATGTAAGAAGTCGTTTCTGACTTATGTCCCTCAGGCGGCAAATCGTACCATTTGAAAGCAGAAGTTTTGTAGAAGCTCCCACTAAACAGCTGTCACTAAATTTTTTAAATTACGACCTCCAGTGGACATTGTGGTCCGTCACCTGTTCACCGAATTGAATGCTTCCTTTGCTTAGAGATGAGCAATAGACCGATAACATGATGACAGTCAACATGGCGAGCAAGGTTTGAACTTTCGAACTTTGTGGAGAGCAATAAACAAAATGAGAGGTGTCCCTATAAAAGCTGCTGTTGATACCTCACTCAGTACCCTCCCTAATTCTCCAAAGTTCTTTTACAGTCTTTAACAGAACACGTTCTTTTCTATCTATAATTTAGCGACACGAAGATGCTTCTTGCTCGTCATATTGACTTAAGAGCCCAACTGTTGATCGACCGTGGTGTTCCTGACTTTATCATTGCCTCAGTGACCGCCTACTAGATTTCGAACTTCTAGAAGGAAGACGTCTCGGTTACTGAGCTATTAAATTAAATAATTAAATAATAAATTCGAGCGATCTCTAGCGGTTTTTTGCCCGCTTTTATTCATAATGGTGCAGTGAAAAATTGTTGAAAGTTGAAGCAGCCCTGACTGATCATGAGATTCTCGAGGGAAAAAGGGTGAAAGGTAACTTCTATGTGAATTCCAACGTTTTCGCAGTTAGCGTAGCTCCTCTGAGTTCAAGACTCGATCAGCTGATGTTCGTGAGGTTCGAAAGTCTGCTAAATAGGCCGATTCGTAGAACCACAAAATCTCTAGACAGTCGTCCTTTTGGCTGAGTAGGAATTTTGCTATCATAATTTGCCGCTAGAGCTGTTCGATTTTTTTTAGACATTATCAGACTTTCCTTACTTAGCATTTTTGTATGCTTGTATAGTGTTTCGTGAGATACGTTGCCAAAACCTTCTGACATACCCGTGATCGTTCACTGGCAGTAGGGCTGCAGTGAATATTAGCATGATTGAGTTTACGGTCAGACTTAGGCCTGATGCGATGGAGTGGCGACAAACTTGTGCTACACCGGATACTTTATGCTCACCTCAGTTATCACTCCTTCTCCTTGGCATCCCCATTTATTCTAGGTGTCCTTTTTTTACTCTTTCATGAACTCTAAGCTCGTATGTCGGGCTTTTGCTACTTTATTGTGCACCGTGGTCAAAGAAAGACGGTAGGCTTGAACGGTTAAACGGTTGAGACCGGCCCTTCAGAAGTCTTCGACCGTGGTCCATGTTTTTATTGCAACATAATGTTAGTGGATAGTTTTTTTTCAGTATTCGCCCTGAGCTTTGATTAGTTGATGTTTATGACTCTGGAGTGTGTTTCAGGGTAATTACGTAGTAACTCGAATTGTTTATACCCTGGAGTATCGCAAGAGCTCCTGTTGTTTTGCAGTGCGGAATACGAGCTAGTTAGGTGAGTACTACGTTTATCATAATTACCGATTATGCTGTCTCCGTGAATGATATCAATGTAATTACAGTCGTTATCAAAACTTATACATGGCCTCAGTGGTATCCTTATTTGCCTCACAAGCTATGATAAATACTCGAGTTTAGAGCAAAAAAAATTAACTTTATAAGAAGAATAACTGTTCAATACCTCTCCGCCTTCGTCCGCTATACATAAGAGCTACGAATAATTTAATGTTTCTATTGTTTGATGTCATTCATTCATCATTTATTTGTTAAGGGAGGAGGTGTAGTGGCAAGTGTCGCACTTCATACGCGTAGGTCACGGTTTCTAGTCCCGGATCTATATCCGCCTAGCGCCTTTCATCCTTTGGGGTCGGCTAATCGGTAACAGACGTCTGGGAGGGAGCACTGACTTGTACATCGGCTGGCCATCACATGTCATTGTATAGGCCACATACGCATTCGATACGCCGCTAGGATTCTGAATGGAAATTGAATGGGGGGCATATCTCTGGGCGGGATTGATCAACGCCCCGATCCTTTATGGTAACGTCTCGGTCTCGACAGAACCGCTTTTTTTAGAGTCTGAAAGGACCGTAACAGTTTGTGACTGTCCAACCAAAAAACGTCCCTCCGCCTAGTGAGGTTCGAGACCCAAGGGCACGCAGGTGATTGAAAGGAGGACCAATCACCGTGGTTTTGTGGATTCTTTGTAGGTTCAGGCTTGTATAAGGCCGTGGCTTCGACGTGATTGCAAGGTACCCTCCCCCCTTCATTTTGTAATGGTGACCTGTATACGGAGTCCCTCGAGGGTTCACCCGCGCACAATTACGACTCCTGTCCCGCGACCTCTATAGTGACCCATCGGAAAACGCCTCCGTTATGCTTTTGAATTCGGTGACTCCTCAATGCATTAAACTCTTTCAATCGTTTTGTACCGTCTACAAGCTCCTTGCCAATTAATCTTCACTTGGAGTGTTCTTGCCGTTTCGCCAATATACTCATCACCGCCATAGCAAGTAAATATTGTTTGAGTGTGGAGCAAATGCCATCGAAATGCGCGGCGTTTTTTAAAGAACTTGTTCAGTTAGCAGCCGGATTGGCTCTCATAAGCGGATAATTCACTTCTCGAAGAGTTCAAATAAAGCAGATGGAGTCGGCTTACTCTTCCGAATTCATTATTACATTTTTTCCTTTTAGCTGCTCTAAACTCTAAATCGACTAGGTTATATTTGGGACAAATCGGTAAGGTTCGGTCATAGTTTTCCTTTTCAAAATTAAAATCCGTCTATTTTGGTATTTATAAAGGTTTATAATTGTTTGCTTTGATATTTTTCATGTTAATTACACCTAACAAATTGAGATTTTAGCGCACACTTCCTTTAGTTCACATGAAGTCATTCTCCTAGGAAATGATTGGGGCGCGCAACTTCGATGCTTTGTCGAAAACAGGTCGCTGCACATGCAGCGACCTTAGCTGGTCGTGTCATTCTTATCTAGTAAGAGTTGTGTATTCTCCCCACAACTAGACGAGGTTGTTGTACGCGCAGCGACATAGTTCCGGTCGAGAGGGCTGATCTTGACGCATTCCCGTTCTCCACCTAGTTAGACTTACACATTTGCTCTGCTTGATCTTTGTTGCCAAATCAAAAAATTGACAAATTTATGATGGAAACATTCCACTCTACTCACTTTGATCGAACTGCCCCTGACCGATCCTGCTCGAGAACAGAATTACACCCATACTTTTGTACCTGATCATGATCGCTCATCATCCGTTTTGCCGAGCTAGTTTCTCAGAAAACCGAATTTCGAGGCGCTGCTTGGGACTAAAACCTCAGCCAGCATCCTATTTCCGAGCATAACCTCTGCATTGTGATTTTTCGTTTACGGAAAAACTCGTAAACATAAAAAGGAGTCCGTTAGCTCTTCGCTTTTCAGACGATGGTCCGCGTATTGCTCAGCGGGGCAGCTGGCTGTGGGAAGAATACAATTGCCATGATGTTGTTGGATAAATTTAAGTATTTTGGATACTTCTCTGCCGGAGACATAATAAGAGACCACATCCAAAGAGGCACAGGTTCGTTCTCGAATTCTTTCTCTAGATCTTTTGCAAGTTCTGAAAAATGCATACGATTACCGTGGCATTTTATGGACTACACTTTCCTTCTAATCTCGGCCGTTTATTTAGAATTTGGACGGCGAGTTGCATCGTTTGTGCACAATGGCGAACTTATACCAGACAGTATAGTAGATCCTTTTCTCCTTGGAGAGGTACGACGTGCCGGAAGCAAATTGATCTTAAATGGTAGGGTTGCTTTTCTTCTTGGTTTCTTTTACTGCTACGTCGTATGTCATTGTCATGCCATACGGCATTTTGAATGGGATCATTTTCGACCGTCCTTCCATGGAATTTTCAGCTTGTTACTTAGTTCCTTAACACTGTCATGGGCAGCTACTTGAATGCATGCCGTGCCTTCGAGCTAACACTTTTTTGACCATCTCAACCTACTGTTATCGGATCTTTTTGCGTAAAAGCCCTTCTCATAATGCAAACAACGGTTCTGTTGCGAGGGCCAAACCGCTAACCGTATTCTTTTATGTAAGGGCTTCCCAACTGCCAAGTGATGGCGCAAATGTGGAGTGCGTTAGTTGTTGCATTTTCAGGTGGTGTTCGAGTGGCAGACTAATTCTAGGGAAATGATAACTGCCCCCAAAATCTGCAATAGCTTTCTTGTTTGAATAGAAACATTTTTCTTGCATCGATGAATGTGTGCTACAAACAAGTTAAACAAGCAAAATCGGCAAATAAGGTTGGATGAAATTCTTCCAAAATGAGGGCTCAAGAGCAAAGCTTACGCGGATTTGATCTGAATGGAGCAAGTTTATAGGTTTTCCACGTTCGATGTGTCAAGTGACGCTGCTCGAGAAAGTTGCACCCTTAGATTTGGTCGTAGAGTTGAAGGTATGTGTTCTTTTTGACAAGTTGTTTTTACATTACTTCATACCAATTTGTTTTTTTACCAGCACAGGTTTCAGCCATCCATGGTCCTTCAAATTTTCTTGAAGTTTCGCACTTGTCTTTCCTGGATGAATGTCTGCTCCCCTTCTTTGAATCGCCATTTGCTCGTAGTGCCCTATGTTCATTTAACATCCTTTCCCGAAGACATTAATTTTTCTTTACGACAATGTTCTTGATTTCAGTCGTTTACCGTAATTTTCTCACATTTACTTATATGTAAGTTTTTATCTGTAGGTACCAAAAGAGATCTTAATCGAACGACTCTCCAAGCGGCTTGTTCATCCCGGCTCAGGGCGAACTTACAACCTGGATTATAATCCTCCGAAAGTTGAGGTAAAGAGATGTGGAAAATTAGTTTTGCAGCAGTTTAGCAGACTATTCATTGATTTTTCTCAATTGTCAAGGCCCTCTTTCAGGGAAAAGACGATATAACGGGCGAACCATTAATTAAAAGAGATGATGATGCTATTGAAACCGTTCGACATAGGCTGGAGCTGCATGAACAGACCGAAAATCGAGTATTCGATTACTATAGGTTAGAGTGCTACAGAAACTTACACTGCTATAACGTAGATGTCTTGTCTTCCACGAAATGCTGTACATGTTGTTGTACTGGATGTATTCGATGTATTTTTTTAGAAAGGACTTTTTCCTTTTGATTTATTCTATTAATTAGGACTCGCGGAGTTGGTGTCGAAGTGTGCGGTGAGACATCGTCGGCGTTGTTCCAAGCAGTCTCGAGGATAATTGACGACCTCCTCAAGAAACGATCGTCTGGATGAAGCACTTACTTGCAACTGCGATTGGGTGCATACAACTAGAAGCTTCTTGCTCCTGCTTGGAATCGATCTGGCATCATGACCATGTTGATCTGATACGACAACACCTTTTAGGTTTTGTTTAGAATACTCGCCTAACTTTTAGCTTATAGTCGTATGTAGATTTATCGAATTCCCCTACTTCAAACCCTTTTCTCGCTTTATGAGGTAGTTGAATAGAAAGCCGTCTTTTCTGTGCTTCAGATAGATTTTTTGAGTGCAAAGATCTCCTCTGTAAAGCCACTCCGCCTTATCCTTATTTCTTAATCGTCTGCCCGAAATTTGATGGGTTTCAATTAGAGCTTAGCAGAGGGTCTTTCACTGTCTCAACACTAATCGGAAGATGAGTCGCGTGAAATTGATGTGAAACAAGTGTAGGTCGCTTCAAATAACCGTTTGAGCTCTTAGGTTGCGGGTTTTGTAATAGTCAAAGTGCCACGGTTGGAGAAGATTGGATAAAACAGGAAACCGTTGAACCCGTTGAAGTTAGGAGCTTTTTACTGTTTGGGATTGCCCATTGTGATGCAATTTTGTACGGTATTAAGCTGAACCTGTCATTTATCCAATTAAAAGATTAGATTCGTTACATTTTCCGAAAACATTCAATGCATTCTATTCCAGTCTGTTTGGAAATTTATATAACAGTAAAAGAGAGTTCTGCAGTTGAATTAAGCTATATCCTTCTTCAACTGAGGGGATGTGAATTGCTGTCTGTACTGCTCAGTTGTTCCCATTACTCTTTATCTTCATTGACAATCTTGTTAAGTATATTTGCATATTTGATATTCTTGCTCGATGTGTATTCGAATAAATGTTGGTTACTGATATCCTAGCCCTCCTGGTAGTGGTTTTACCAATTTTTGCCTTGCGAGTAGTGAAATTTCACCAATGTTGAAAGGGTTTTTTAGCGTCAGACGAGTGTTTCTGTAGGCTAAGTGGCAGTTGTGCTGGTACTTCGTAAAAAATGGCCTTCCCATGTTTGATCAGAATGCGGTAAACTCCAAAAGCAAGATAGTTTTTTTGGAGGTTTGTTTTTGAGTTCTGCCTTCTCTTCTATCCATTTCGTTTTTTCCTGAGCGCTGTCAGTTTGAAGAATCGAAAGTAAATTTGATTTTGTTGACTAAATATTGGGGCGAGTTCGCCTATCTTCATTTTGAACTCTATGTATGTTGGCCAAAGCGGTTCATTTTTTGTTAGAAATTCCTACGGAAATTAGGTATTCAGTCATCGTTTCAAACTTAAGCGATTGTAATTTATGTATTAAACTCTCATTTGGTTTTTGATCCATTTCAGGCTCTAAAGAACGCAACCCCCAAAACTTCAGCCAATAAAGCTCACATAAAAGCTTCGTCGGAGTTCAAGTCGTGAACTACATCAAGATGGAGTCGTGCCGATGCTTATGGAAGCCCGTGCGTGAAGAGATTGTGCAGTGCGGGATGTATCCAGAAGCATAATATTTCCCATAATTTTTCAATTGTTAAGAAAGAAGGATGCCTGTTTATCGATGGCAACAATGCGCCACATGCCATACTAATGCTGTCCCGGGAAATTGCCGAGTGTGTGACAGCTCAAGGAAACCAAACCAAAAGGAAGAACAAGGCCTGAAATCACTCAAGTACCACTCAGTTTACATGCTTCATTGAATTTGTAAGGGTTTTCAATTGTAGAATAAATATTTCAAGTATTGATAGTTTTTGAAGTTTGCAAGGGTCTTCGCTGACCTCGTTGTTTTGCAAATGACGTTTTTTTTTCAGCTGCTTTTAATTCCTTAACATGTCTTTATTGATAGGGGAACGCCCGTGGCTGTATAAACCTTCGAAGGGATCCAGCTGGATGTGCAAACCAGTTAGTGTGAAGCCAACCCCTGTGTGATTTTATCGTGAAGTAATTGATAGACGCGTATGAGAGCTCGACGAAGAACTTATTTGCGGGTACGATTTTTTAGTAATTCTCATAGCACTCTACGAAATCCCTTTTACTAATTCGAGAAGAATGATATCAGTAAGTAATTGAACTCCATTAATGATTGGAACAGGTTTCTTAGAGCTATCTAGGAAAAATAGGCAAAACACGAATTTACTACAGCTGATCCAGTGTTTTTGCTTGCTTCGGAGGCATCGCTCCTGTCTGTCGAAATTAGATTTTTGTAGGCGGTATTTTTAGTTATTACAACATTATTATTTTACCTGAGGAAAATCATACACGATTGATGTCACTGTCCGTTCGTAATAGAGAGACATCATGGTGATACGTTCCATAGTCGTTGTTTACGTAATTCTGCGGGGTCTTCACTAGTCCTGAATATTACTTGGAGATCTGTTAGGCCCGTACCTTGATGGTTGTTCCTTACAATCACTAGGCAGTGGCTCAGCGGGAATGGCCCTAGGATAATCAGTGCGGCAAGTGGCTTTGGCTATTAATACTGCATACCTGAAAAGTTCGCCGTTTGACATATTCCTGAATCGCTTCGAGGATGTAGGAAGAATTTATTCAAAGAAGCAACAAGGGCCGTGAAAATGAGACTGATCGCGAGTAAAACCATGGGAAACTGCTCATTCTCGCAGCAGGAAGAAAGGAGGAGAATCATGAAAACACAAGACGTATCACACCATGCTAAAAGCTAATCTTCGAAAAGGCTCACGATATCCTAATGGGACTTCAGTTATTGAAGGAAAATCTTTCTTCTAACGGAAGTTCCTCAGATCCCTACCTATTTTCATTTCAATCCCTCTTGGGCAGGCACTTCTAGTTTGTAGTTTATGGTTCGATAGTTTATGTCTTATGTGCGACTAGTAGCTGTTGTAATTCAAGATCTGAAAGAGGGATAACGATCTTAACAGATACAACAGTATGATTTCCAGAGCTTCCAAAGTCGTTCAACCCAAGATCAGGTGAAGCTCAGTGAAATCAGTGCTACGTCGTACCCTGCTTACAGTTCACTTTGTTTCGCTCTTTTTGTTTATTACTCAGTACCCGTAAAACCGAAATTCGGCGGAATGTAGCGAGAAATTGCTCTTCGAACTTTTCTGAAAACCTTTTCTGGTGCATTTCTCCGTTTTTCATTATATTTCGTTTGAACCAAGCTTTTTAAAATTGAATATAGCAGTATGTCAGCTCATCTAGCTCTAGCTTTAACCGATGGAGCTCCGGAATTTGAACAATCTTTACTGCAAGTAGTTGAACTTTATGACATAATATATGTTTGATGGAATGTACCGTCATTGTCTGAGAGGACAGCGATAAAAGCAGTAAACAGCACCAGACTGCAGGTCTCTAGGGTTTTTGCAGCCGGCTGATTGTACTTAAGCGTTGCTTCCGTTGCAGTGCTTTTCTGAGTATCCGTACATGGGCATTTCTTGGGAAATTAGCTGACTTTAATTCCCTTTCAAACTTTTTTCATTCAAATGGGATGCCGTACCAATTAGTGCCACTAGCTCAGTCTTCAAATCTCTCAGATGTGTTCTTCATTTCTGGGTGATGGGTGAACTCCTTTGTTTCTTTTCAATTCATGAAATATTTCGTTTGAGAGCATGTATTGCCTGTACAATAGAGTGCGTGGTTCGAGCAATGCGTCCGCTTTTTATGTTTCCTATATAAGTCTAATATTGAGGTTCTGAGGGGAAGTCGATTGCATCGATTTAGGATTCAATCTCAGCAGTGTGATCTACATCAGGAATCGTAACCACGTGATGTTACCTCATATTTATGATAGAACAGTGGCAGAATACACGCATGCCTTCCTTACCCCTCCTTGATGAATGTCTTCTGACGTAAATTTATTGTGTTGCAACAAATGTACAAGTACTGTAGCAATTTCAAAGAAAATCTGACCACTAAATTTTGCGTTCACGATCACCATATTTAGTATCACAAATTGGTGTGAGCTACAGATTTCGCTCGTGTAATTCAATACTTTCTTGATTAACCGTGAAGGCAGAACATTTCCATTTCATGACAACCATAAAGGAAAATGAAGCAATAAATGAAACATCGATGTCTCAATGACTTACTAATTCACGTTTACAGTCTAGGAATCGTGATTACCCACAATGCAAATTACACACACATATCACATTAGTCTTAGTATCCACTAGAATGACTTCTGAGCGGTAGGAAACTACGTACAGAAGCGAAATTACCCAACCCTTACCCCGCCTATAGAATGGTTTGGAAAGGTGCATGTGATTTGGTGTTTTTCGACCATCCCATGATTTTTTAAAATAAAAAATACTACGTATGCACAAAATAAAAACCTCCAGTTACGATCAGACACGAGTGGGGTGAGAGTGTACGACATCGAGTTCTTGTGGGCGGTGCAGCTGAGACATGAGATCCTGCCGAAACCTTTCGATAAACTGTGCGGCGGTCTCGTCGTTTTCGGAGCCCATACGACGTCTGGCCTCGTGTGGTCTTTCGTTTTGGCAGGACGGCCGTCGCGTTTGAGTTCCTCGCAATGCTCTGTCCAAGCGATACAGCGACTGTGAACGACCACGCATTGAAGATTCGCTGGAGTGGGAGCGTTTCTGGAAACAATGGACTGAATTCGATTTATTCGCACCGCATTTCTTATACTTAAGCATGCTTACTAAGTATGCAAGCTATAACTAAGTATAAATGTCATTATCGTTACTAGTATCCTACTATATATAACGCGCTAATGTTTGCGTGTGTGTATGCGTATGTGTAAGTTTGTCCGACCGCAAATTCGTAATCTCTGTCCCATGGACGTAAGGCATTAATACTTGGTGGGAGTACAGGCGGCTGGATGGGAACACTTATGGTGTTTGGCAGGGCCGGAATCCGCCCACAGGAGCGGGGTTTGCGCCAAATAAGTGTTTGATCGGAAATTCATAATTCCTGTCTCTGTAGACCAAGAGCGTTCAAACTTGGTAGCACGAGAGGCGGCAGATGGGAACACTTGTGCTAGGTAGCAGGACCGGACTCCACCCATAGTGAGCGGGGTCTGCGCGAATATTGTCAATGTGGTCATATGTCGAAGATTTCTATAACGAGTGTTGACTAGAAACATAGACGGTCATTCTTGGCTCTACACCGTGTTCCCTAGTTTCAAAGGCTTCCAGCCGAACAACGTAGCAAGTGGCTTGCCCCGAATGATGACGCTTTTTTGCTGGAGCCCTGTAGGGAGCACTGGTGGTCACTGAACATTCAGGTGTAGTTATTTTTCACAAAAGGGAAAGTTGATTTCAAGCTTCCTATTGTTTCCCTTGTTTCCCGCTTTACTTGTTGTGGCTGGGACAAAAGCTTATCTAGAAAACGTAACGTTGTTTACGTGGTAGTTTCTATAATTACAGGTATGGGAAATTGATAGAATGGCAACATATGATTGCTTCGCTACACTCGTTGTTAACGTTATAATGAAACCTGGGCTGTTTTTACGATAGGCATGTTGACACAGCAAACACAACAAGGAATCTTGAATCAAAGTGGAAAGCGTGATTCATTCTTTTTTTTTACAATTTAGTTCCAAATAAAGTTCTTTCAAGTTGATTATAGCACTGAACTGAGCACTTCGTTACAAGACTGCAATGGAAATGATTTGAATTCGCAGAACAAAGGCTATGCGATGACAAATTTCCCAGCCCCTCATATGATCTTACTATTATTATTACTTCCATTTTTTGACTTATCTTCTTCTCTAGCCAAACTCGCATGTCCAGGACGCTAGCACGCAATTCATGGGAACCGGGGGAAGGTGCTTACGTGACTAATCAGCTACGGCACCGTGAATCGTGTTATGAGCTATTGCAAGCGTATCTGGCACTTTCTCCAGCAATTGACTTCTCTGCCCTTTCGCTTAGAACCTTCGCTAACTCCGTTAATCAAATGCTGCCACCTAGAACTTGCGCGTTTCACCAGAGAGGAATGTAAGGCAGAAAATAAAATCGAGGCTAAATCATCGTCTAGATCGACCTATATATCATTGCATAGCAATTGTTCTGAAGAATCGAGCCGTGTAGATTCGATCGCGAAATTTAATCTCATGGGAAGGTAAGATCTGATCACATTAGCTAAATATGTCGCTTAATAGTATTTAGGGCCACACAACTGTGAAAACGCTTATCTCGGACCATATCCGACACAAAATCCCTACAAGCATTATCTTTTATTCAGGGTCTTTCATCGAGTCCACTGCCTATCTTATCAGAGTAGGGTGAAATAACTTTACAAAATTGAAAGTACGCATCAAAATTGAGCTTTTATATGATTTCTGGTACTCCCTCGTCAAGAGCTGCGTACAGTGGTCAAAAGTTCGTTTGACTCGGAGAACTTCGTTTTGAACTAGGATTAGGTTAAAAAAAGCTGAAGTGGTGTTCTCCGCTAGAATTTAAGTTCCTTTCCAGCCATTCCACAGTCACTGCACAAACATAGGCATCAGATAATACCTAGAGGTTCGATCACACCATAGTATTTTAGCCTAAGTTGTTGCTTAGATGATTGATTGTACTCCTGGTGCACATTTATGATATCGCATTCCCACCCAGGTCACTAAACTTTCTCCCGTTTCAGGCTTGAGGAGTTATTCGTCTCGAAGTTTAGGAAAACATTGGAAAAAATCAGGAATTCACACTGTAGATAAGTTACGTCTTCAAGCAATAACAACAGCGATTTCTGCGGAGACAGGTATGTGAAGCTTGTGGTGACAGGCAACTTTGAAACTTTTTGAATGATTTTCCTATTTTTATGATACGGGTATTCTTAGTGAGCCCAGCGCGGAACACGGTGGAAATTCTCATAAATGAAGTGTTTTAGTATCTTAATAATGCCTTCCTTTCAAAATATGCTTATGTTTTGCGCAGATCAGGAAATACGTAAATAGATCTATCGGTGTAATCTCTCTATATCTCTTTATATATAAAGCAGTAACTGTGTATCTGTTTGTATGTCGTTTTGTGCGTCCGTCAGCGAAAAGTCACGTAGGCTAGATGAAGAGTATGAAATGTCATGTGGGCGCATGGAGGGAGCAGTTATGAAGTAGGAGGTCTACCCATACTGTTTGTATAGATCCCCTGACAAATCTTAGATAATCGGTTGTGGAAATCTGATGCCCGCGTTGACGTGCGTTGCCGAACGGGCACTTCAAAAACGATGGATTCCAGGGTTGGTACAACTCTGAACAATCCCAATAGCTGCGTGAGCGCCATGAAGCGTTTTTTACCATTGAACCTATGAGCAGGCCCTTCCGTTTGAGAAAAGTCACCACGATTGAAGTCAATTATGTGCCGTTTGTATACATTCAGCATCCTTGTGATAACGTCCTCTGATTCGACATTTGGATTATTTTGTGATCCAGTACAGTTCTCGGCAGAATCCACGTTCCTTATTCGGAGCAGTCGAGAAGTTGCCACTTTCATTCCCGAATATCTGCTGATTTCGTAAGCGCGCACCGATTCCTGTGTGAATTTGTAGGCACGTTACCATAGTTGCGCAGCGATTCTGATGTTTTTCACAAGGGAAAGTCATTCACTCTGGAAAGTTCCTCAAATAACATTGTTAGTGATGGGAGAAGCAAGAAATAGGTCTAAGTTGCAAAGTCATAATGAACGAAGGAGAGGAAGAATTTCGCTACCACGTCTTCAAATAAAACCTTCCAATTGCTTTCCTGGACGCTTCAAGTATTTGCCTTCTTTAACGGTAGTTTCTTTCTATGTGGTGTAGTCTTCTCACTCGACATTCAAGACTTTCATTTACCATTCCGGTGAAGAGGTGAAAGAAATACTGTGGAATATGTGTGCGTCATAGGCGTAGAAAACCAGAATTCCCAAACAATTTCGAAACAAAATGGCCCCATGGGTTAGTTCTTTTCTAGGAGTGTATATGTTCACGACAACAAAAGTTGTGTCTAGACTTATTGTGAGTTTCATTCGCCCCTGGAATAATCAATTGGTTGTATTTACCGGACCCTTTTTGCACCACCTTGCATCCGCGTGACCCTTTTTCGATCAGTCTCTGTGTCTTTATATATCCTATGGGGGAATTCTCGACGGTTTACATTATTATTTGCTGTTTGCGCGAGAGGGAGATAATATAGATCAAGAAACTTAGAGGTCTTTTGTCCTGGATATATGATATCAAAAAGTGCTTTATGAAGTAAACTGACCTGATCAGATGACAAAGCATGTCGAGGTGCAACTCTAAGTGGAGATAGCATCGGTGGCGATTTTGGTCCCTTTGTGCTGCTGAAAAAATATTTCTGAAACCACAATCTATAAAAGGGATTTGTGATTAGATGAAGACAAGGTCGAGCTGAGGTCCATTTCAAATGTCAAACACTTATCACGAAATATTCCTCTTTCTTGGTTGCATAGATGAGAAGATATCTATAGGGTGCTAGTTTCCAATACAGTATACATTTGCTCTTTTCGGTCTTCATAGGAACTAAACAGTCTTGTCTTTGAAAAAGTTGTCTCCTTTGTTCAGAGCTTAATTCGTTCCTCACATCTATACAATATTACAGCCCTGAAACCATAGCAAGAAGCGTCTTCTCTCGGAAGTGCCAATCATTTTGTGCATTTTTGGTGAACGCAATTCTAATCCTCTCCGAACACTACGAAGAAATTCACACTCTTTCGTTACAAGCAGGTGCTTCGTTAATAATTATCTGCGATTGCCTTTTCCATAGAATCCGTGTGAATAGCGCTAACTACCTTGCTAGCTACTTCCAAGAATTAACGGCGTAACGGAACAGGTAAGTTCTACTATAGTCCAACATTTATAGTTAGCGACAGCTACTCCGAGCATTCGCCGACGATGGGCCACTCGAGAAATTGAATGCTATTTGGTTTTCCTTTTCAGTTTTCTGAAAATGCAGCATCTGTGAGGATCCATCATAGCGTTATCGAAACAGCTGTTCATGTCAGCCTACCTAATAGCAGTTACTAGTTTGCGCTGATTTTATCCCTATTGGTTTTGCGCTTCTATCGGATGCTGTCCGAAAAGTGTCATGGGATCATTAGAGCTTGGGAAAACAGAACCATTATCGAAATACACGGTTTAGCAATTCATCGAGAAGTTCCGAAGCCCCAGGAAACGTGACTTTAAAATCCCTTCTTTTGAGTTCATAGCCTGCTTAAGTTGGTAGCTCAGCGCCACTGCAGCTTGGCCAATTCCTTCATAAATCACGTTTTTTGAATTAGCATGAAACCATAATCTCACTAGCGAGCCCAGAATTGTTCTAATCACACATCTAATTTTTGAAAGAAAGTTACCGAAATTCCTGTCAGGAATATCCTATCAGAGATCAATCGATATCAGATGACTGCTAAGAATGTACTATACCTTTGAGGTCCATCATTGATCGACAAACGATGCATTCGTTGTAGTGGGTCCTTGCCTGTGATATTTCCGTTTCCAACTTCGCCGGGCAATTGAAAGTTGATTGGTTCGAGCTGTAATCAGCTTTTGAGTACGATGCTTTGAACTGAACATGTTTCTTGAAATGTTTGTATGATCGTTTTTTGCTTATTGTCAGTAGATGCCTGGGGCTTCAATTCGGATTTCCTCTGTAACTGTTATAATAATTTCTCTTTGCAAGCTTGCGCTTCGCGGTAGAAGAAATTGGAACAACAGTTACAAAACCGAAGTAATTCAGAAATAGAGTAACAGTTACAGAGTAGAGTTATTCTCATTGTATTATGGAAATTCCTTGATTCAGTTCTGGATTTTTTCGAGATTTCGAGAGGGAAGGATTATTCAGGAGGCAACTCACCTGAATGGATGATCGTCTTCTTGGATATGGTAGTACGTCAGTTGCTCCCATTCCTGCAATTGAATTACTGATTGCAAGGTAGAATCTTCATAGGGTCGCGGTTGCTCAGTTTACGCACATCCCTCCCGTACCCGAAAGCTGAGACCCCCGTTAAGGTCAAGAAAAGGAAAGGTAAGGTTAGAATATTAAAAACCGCATAGTAGCGACAAGACAACTGGAAGTACTATGATCGCCACTGATTCTTCCTATCAAGATACTGGTCCCTTCAGCTGCTACCAGCAATAACAGTAGTTCATAGATGCATCGGTGACCTCTAATAGATGCGCTCTGGATTCTCATATCAATATTTTTGCTGTGAACCAAGTTACATCACCATCCACTATGAAAAGGTGATATGCTCAAAGCTCAGTCATTTTTACTGTTGTTTCGAGCGCGCATTTAGTGATGATGAGTCCTTTGCACTGGCCGACCATAACCGGTTGGCAGTTTACTTCACTGACTTCACTAAATTACAACCAAACCTAAAAGATGTAAGACTCACTAGGAAATCCCGAAACGAGCTAGTATTTTTAGAGATTTAAATTGTGAATTAAATGATATGTAAGTTGTAAAATGAGACAGCTTACATATCAGATTGTTTTTGTTCAGTTTTGTAAGCTAAGGTGTGAAAAGCATCGTATCGCCTAATGAGTGGCAACAACGGCGACTGAGTGCTACGAAATTGCGAAGCAACCCCGCCCATTCCTCGGAACGCCTCATTAAAGCGTCACGGCATGTGATTATCGAAGAGATTTGTAGTTGGCAAGCAGCAGCAGGTGAGACTGAACTGGGTGGACGTTTAAATGGAATAATTTGCAGATATAGAGCTGGTCGCCTGATGCCTTTAACAAATTCCTTGATAGCGTTCACTTCAATCCGGATCGCAGCTGCGCTAGGTGCTCTTTGGCTCACGCGATGACTTGCGAGGCGATGTTCAGTTCAGTGCTTCTACTTCACACGACCTTAAGAAATGAAACACTTATTGTCCTGGGCAAGTATCGCTCCGATATTTGACTAACGGACCTTACCTGGAACTGGATTTGTTTCAGTTTCTGAGATTTGAGTAAGGTAAGATGGGGAACTGTCAACAATAAATTATAGTACGTCTCCAACAATTTCGTTGACAGCTTTATAGACAGAGGTGGTGCTACTGTTGAGTACATCATAACGTGTAGTAAAGATGATCGTAAGAAGTCTTGTTGGGTTCACGATGACATTCCAATTCCCCCGATCCTTCATTTCGAATCCAACACGACAAACTGTTCACAACTTGGATCATTGCTGATCTCTGAAAGTTCTTGAACCGTTCGAGATCACAATCAAGCATCTCTAGCGGTTTCGATTAGGGTTTTGATGCTGTTCTAAATAACGCCACCTGTGCCATGAGGACTACAATTCTAAATCTGAGAGGCACTCGATTGGGTATCGGGAGTAACGGGCCTGTGGTATGTAGGTACGCCGACTGTTGATGTTTCACTCAACGTTTTGTGTATCTCCACACACAATTTCGCTAGCAAAAAAGTGACCTCTTATTAAACATTTCTCGATCTGAGACATTTCTCGGTCTGAGGTATGCTTAAAAATACTTAAAATTTTCAATGAATTCTAACGAAATACATTGAGTCTCACAAATATATCGGATTACTGCAGTGAAAAGCACGGCTGCACAACTTTTTCTCAACTTGCGGTTGTTAGTAACCAGCTGATAGTAAGTGAATGCCACTTAATTGCTTTTACCCTTTTCCTAGCTCTATAATACCTTAAATAGGTAGCTGATCATTGAGGAGTAATTCACTTTTGATTGCTAACATTCGCACCATTATGGGGTGTGGTAAATCAGTGAGCGCAACAACCAACAGGTGAATTCCAAATGAACAACAAATTCTAATTGACTTTTCATAAACAATCAAAGATGAAGAGATCGCAGTTTACAACAGATCAGGTACTCATACATCAGCCAAAATATTGGAAGCGTATTGGTATGAGCTCGGTACAATCAGCTTCTCCTACATTCATATGCTGATTAACCCCCTCAATTCAATCGTATGACTCTAGTTACAGAAGAATCGAATTGGACAGGCTTCAGCATAACAGGAATCGTGAATTTCATTTCTATCTTCCTTTTTCTATTTTTTATTTCTATCTGTGTTTTGCTTTAACGGTTGGAGTCGGACTTGAAAGGTTGAGAGACAATAAGCAACCTTTTTATTTCTGGGCTGCCACAGACCATTATCCTCAGTCCATTTATCAAGGTAGCTTTCACAGTTTAGGAGCTACCGTTTAACTCCCGAGTCTGCTCGTGGGGGATGAACCTTACCGATAACCAGAAGTTGTTAAGCTAGTTGTTATAGCCTTTTATGCTGGTGTTTTTCTCAGGCACCTACATATGCACAATTATTGCCTTGTTGATGGAAACCGCAATCCACGGTGTTGATTTTAGGTCTCTAGTGGTCTCATTGGAAGCTGACTCGTTGGCTGAGTGTGTTGTGTGTGTTGTGCTTCCATAAGAGAATAGGCACAAATTGCTCATGTTATAGAATATAAAATCACAGAACCGAGAATACTCTTCCCAAAGAGAGGTACGTTGTCAAGAAGAGAGGTATTGTCAAGGTACGTTTATTAACTTAATAAACGGGGACCCTAATCGTAACCAGTTCGGTTCCGTTGTATTTACGATTTCTATGTAATTATTTTCGGACCTTTGGTGATACAGTCTATATTTAGTCGTTTATTTAGTAGCTTATTTCTTTTATTCGATGCGAGTGATTAAAGGATACTCCACAAAGTTGTACTTTCCTGGAAAGGAATAAAAGAAACAATGATAAATATTTCTACGCTAACTCCTCTTTTAAGCCACACATTCAACTTCCCAGAATCAAAATAGTATTGTTTGGGTGCGTATCTAGCATACAAAGTGACTTGTTGGAGCCAGCAGTTGTACAAGCCGAAGCTTTCTCATCCTAAAACAAGTCCGCTATCAATTCATAGCTCCGTATAGAGTAAAAATAACTTGTTCAGGCGTATGTTGAATCTCAGACCGTATGTGTGATAGGCACTATTTTCACCATCCTGCGGTAGCTACTTTAAGTTTTTGTGAAGATTATAATTTGAAGATAATGATAAATTTCCTGTCGAGGCAGAATTAATGGAAAAGGCAATGGAATGGGAATGTCGAAAAATCTCAAAATAGTCTTTTTTCTGTTCTCACAGCGGAATAATGAATCCTCTCACTAATTCGGGGAGTTTTGATTTTACCTTTATGACTTCTGATCTGTGATTTTTAACATTTTCACCCTTTGAGCTTCATTAATCACTCCATTTTGCCTAAACATCTCCTTTCATTTTTTTGAACATCTGCCCAGGATTCCCTCGTATGCAGTGCTCTGACAAAGCTGTTTTCATAAAGGCTCAGTTCACGATAATTTTGGGTAATCCAGATTATGATGAAAAATGGAAGACAAGATCGAAACTAATGCGACTGAGGTGAAGAAATTGCGTGCATCGGTGTTTCCAAAGTGAAAAAAGGCTTCGAAAAATCGTTAAAAAGGGGGCTGGACGAGAATGAAACCAGAAAAATGAAGAAGAGTTGGGCGTCCGGACGAGCTAAACAGTGTGTTTCACTGCGCGCGTGTGGGTCCTGGTGCGAATAACAGACGATGGTAAGCAAAAATTCATTCACTTATAAGCATAAATAAACAAAAAAGCCCTAGTAACAGCAAAAGTAGCTCACCTTTTTCAGTCTCTACGAGTAGGAAATTAAATAAGGGATCGCATTAGCAAAGAGAAAAACAGAGGAAAAAAGATTGGGAGAAAAACATCACCTCATCACTCGGAGATTAGCTGATTGTGCGTTGGGCCTAGAACGAATAATAGCAATCTGTATTGTCTCGACACTCGTCTAACGTGACACCGACCGAGTGGCGGGAAAGAGAACTACGGCAGCAACGGGGCTCCCACTATGCCCTAAGCGCTGAGATTGTGGGAGCGAGAGGGCCTCTTTTACCACCCATGGGGGCGCTGAGTATTCCTAAGGGAAGAACTCAGTAACCTTTTTTATCGTGAACCGTGCCTTTAAACGAGTTTGTCGACATCAGAAGCTGTTTTGTAGTGTGTCGCTGAGGCGGCAGTTAAAGCACGTGTACTCAATAACAATGCGGTAGCGACGTAATGCGCCAACATATGCCTTCACAGGTGAATACTTTCAGCGATACAGAGATCAGCTGTCTGACTTCATCACCGATCGCCCCGTTGATCATCGACTTCCTCGAGCGAGCGCCAGTAAAATCACCATTTATCCCTTCGGGTGAAACGAGTGATAATAGCCCCTTCCATTCAGAACTTTCAAAAAAGTCAAACCGTCACGCTTGTGATCGTGCTGGTGCTTGTTTAACTTTTCGGGGACTGTACTCAGTGACCGCCCTTATTCAACGGTCACCACGATGTCACATGTGTTTGGTTGATCTTCAAATCCCATGGCATAAAGAACGGAATCCCTGATCTTCTTTCTTTGACGGACCTGGGAACTCGAGATAATTTCTGGCTTGTGTGTATATATTCCGAGAATCGTCCTTCCAACGTAACGTCTGATTCTATAACGTTTTGAAACGCAATCTATCGAGTTCTTTGAATATTAAACATTTTTTGAATACCGCCTTACTCGCACTGTAATTTCACAGGAACCGTTTTGCTCAACGTTGTTTTCGAAGCTTCAAAACAGCAAGCACTTAGTCCTGTCGAGTCTATCCACGAACCTAAAAACGAGAAAACGAATTGATATCGCATACTTCTCTGGTCTTTTCGGACTCTCCACACAATATACAAAATTGACCGCGCAGGTTTTGGAAAGGCTGTACATAAAACATCTTGAGTACTTTTTAATTCCTGGAGAAATAAAAATTTCTTTCGATTTCATTTCTGCTAAACCTAGAATTTACGCGGAGGTTTAGGCCCTTCTTACTTTCTAGTTTTCTGCAAGACGCCCCCAAATGCTAACATGTGCTGAGGGAAGGACGGAACGTTGGAGCGTTCGGAGACGTACTCTGCTAATTTCGTGGTGAATCAATGCTCACATGATTTCTTTGTATCGATCTGATCGACTGGCTTGCTTATGAGCAGCTTCAACTCTGGGCCTCTTCGATGTCTTGTGTACATCTTGGTGGTAAACGCCGGACTCGCCTAAACCGCCACGAATTTCTACACGCGATTGCCGCATGCATCTCTGAACGCACCAATGTACCCTACTCGAAAATTACTGGCTAAAATAATTGCCCTTCACAAATCAGAACACTCACTAGCTAGGCTGAAATTTGAAGTACTTACTTCATCAAGCCCGAGAATGTGTGAAGTTGGTATCCGTTCCACTGATGGGAAATGCGCTCACTTGGGCTTACACACAAAAGCCTCTTGTTCACCATTCCATAGAGCATATTCGAGTATACATACACAAGTACCGAATAACTGAAGTGGAAAATGACTTAATCAGGAGTTTCGAGCCTGGGCACCAGTTCATCGTAAATTCGCAGTAAAACGTATTATCTGATGAATATGGGCTACCTCAGCATCGGGCGGCAAATGCTGGCTCCTCCGAATACAAAATGCGTAATGTCCAGTCCGCCCAATGTTCTCGGAAGTCGAAGGGTCTGTTCAGCAGAGAACCTTCAACAAAGTGAGGAATAATAGCTATGAGAACACTTCCGTTCTTAGTTCTTTGACTCACAGGGTATGTTTTTCCCTGATGGTTAGGTCCGGAAAGGGGACGAACCTTCAGCCACTTGGAGCGCCCCTGCATCTGCACACGATTGCACTGGCATATCTATGAAACAGCTGTGTGCGTGGGTGTGTTTAATATGCATCTCTTCATTTCAGTGGAAGGAGCAGAGTGACGAATATGGCCAATAAGCCATGGATGCAGTGGGAACACAGTGGGTGACAGGGCAAACCGTGAGAGAACATCTCGGGACATCAATGGAGTGGGAATGAAAAACGAAGATCGATTCCCAAAAATGACTGGCCTTGGCGAATTCGAACTTGTTCAGCGCACAAGTTTCACTGGCAGACATGTCATTGACCCGTTTGAACACGTCCATATCTCGATTTCGTTTGAGCCCCATCATTCCTCATACTGCATATCATTACTATCATGCTATTGTATCTCCCTAGTAGGACGCCTTCACAACCGTGGTGTAGCCGTGGGCGACAGGAAGAATCGCTACAGCCGAAGTGGTGTGTTCTCTTCAAATCCCACACTCATTATGTTTCATACTAAATTTATCCGATTCAATTCAACCATCAGATTTTGAAAATTTGCGTTTGATTGACAGTAGCTGTCGGTGACAGTAGCTCTGATGACTGCTGACAACCAGGTGTGTGTATGGCACTTTGCAGTTGTCTGCGCTCCCTGTATGAAATTATTGCGCAGTGAACTTCATGCGTTAATCATCTTTAATGGCTGTCACAATTAGAACAGTCTGTTGTATTCAATTTTAGCAAATAGTGGATCTGAGAAGTTTTCGATTGAGTAATCTGCAAAGCCTTTTATGAGTCTGAAATGTATGAGAGGTCCTATTGAGTCCTGGAGGGGCATCTGCCCTTAATGGCTTTCCTGTCAGAAGAGAAGCTGTGGTATCCGCTATTACCATTCTTAGCGAGACATCTTTAGGCATAACAAACAAAAGAGAGAAAATGCAAAAGTAGCCATTTTATCCTTGAGTATAGACATGGGAGAAATTTTGCTTAAACTTGTTCCTCCTTATAACGAGCCTCATTTCTTAGGTAAGAAAAGTTCTTGTCGGGAAACCTTAGCCACCCCTCAGGGATGATGCTGGCTAAAGGATAGTTTGATTAGTAATTTATTATCTCCGGTTCTCATTTCAGGGTTTTTCACAGTCATTCAAGTCCACTGTATTTAGTTCGTTTATCACCTTGGCATCATCCCTATATATTATACGAGCAGTAACTTGGTGTATTGGTTTGTATGTTTCTTGTTGTTTGTTTTTCGAGAAAATGTTCCATGATTGGGAAAAAGGGAGTGGAAAACCCGACATCGTTCTGGAGTAGCAAGAGAGTGAGGAGGAAGTTCAGGAGTGGAATTATTGATAGATTTGCATTTGCAGCATTTGCATTTGTACAGCACAGATCACATTATAGGTGCCTGCTCTGCCATCGTAATTCCGATTGAGAGAAAGCGACTAATATTGATTTGTGTGTGGTGTTTTTGAGGAGGTGATCATTAGCATTTCTTCTGAAGTTGAGCATCCACACCAACTGGTATGATATAAATGTAATGAAGTGAGAATTCAAAGCTGAGTGCCGTCAAAGGGTGGCGAGTGAACATTTGGGTGACATCTTCGCACAAGAAAACATCTTCCCAGGCAATCTTTTTTCCTCATCTGACCTTCTGTTCTGGTTCACAGAGATTTTTCCCCGTCTGTGCAATTGTAAAATCACCACCATCATGCTAGAAAAACCTTATGAAACTTGTTGTTTCGTTACCCATTACATCGCTGTAGTCCGAAAATGAAAAACAGAGATAGATGCAGGATCACTTCTCAGCCTCATTTCTGAAGGTTCCTAAGCGAAATAAGCCCCATGGACTGTTAGCCACCGTGAAATTCCTAGCTTTGCATCTTATCATACAATCTGCTTCGATTGTTACCCTCCATGAATCATCTAGCCTGGAAGATTAGAAGAACTTGTTTCACGCCCAAGTGATGGTACGATTAGAGAAGTTCACAACCCCTTGCATGCATACTGGATATTTCCGCTTTGCCTTAATGGCACGAACAAAGCGAAATCTCAAACAACTGAAAATTTGTCGAGTTACTCGGAATCAAACAGATTCACTCCGTATGCGAGTACGATTCCCCCGCAACAACTATGTAGGAAAGCGGAAGCACAAGAAGCCAACTGTGGTTAAGAAGCATTGGAGCTTAGTCTCACAGCGAACCTGCAAAATCTAGATGGCTGGTATGAAACACTAGACTGCGGCTACGCTTATAAAAAGATCTTTCATTAATTTTCCGGGTGAGGGTTTGAGCGGTATTCTGAAAAAAGTTTGTTCCCACTTGCACACGCATTTGGCGTGGTATAAAGTTGAACTATCCACCATTTAGCAAGCAACTCGTTAAACGTTTAGTCATTCCGGTGAGTTTGGAGTCTGTCCAAGTCAGATCAACAATCGGTGCGCCATGCACCGAACAAGGGACAAACACTGACAAAGCTGTAGTCAACCCCTTAGAATCACCTACAATTCTGAGCTAGTTGGAATGCATAACATATATATCTGTTGAGATGAGCCCATGTGAGCAATTTCAAATGCTAATGAGCACAAAAACTCGTCTTACAAATGTTGCCAAATATTCCTGACAATCGAATTTCGCTTCAATTATTGACGTTCTCTAGTGTGGTTCAGACAGGATCCTTTTTGGCCACTAAAGTGCATTCATGGCAAGAATATTCTAGTCTGAAACTTGATTGGTCTCTATTTCAGCGAACGGTTGAATTGATTATTAGTTCGGAATCATTTTAACTGAACGGCAATGCCTTAGGCTCCAAGGGAGGAAGCAAGCCAAAGTTTCGTGGTCATAGGTTGTGTACTATGGGCAGGCTTGGGAAGACGATTATTTCTAAGAAAATACTTGACGGAAGTTCTTCATTGAGTAATGCGAAAGATCACAGGGGCGCTGCAACAAATGATGATCAGGACCCTATATCGATATTGGGCGCCAAGACCAACAGACGGGATACTGACAAACCGTTTCATTCAGTGGATAGCAAACTTGTCTGGAGCCGACGACTTTCTCATGTCTTGAAATTGCTTTCTAACGACCTTTGCCCCATGATAATAACGCGTTTTTGAGTGTCGTTGATGGGTCAGATGTTACTCTCAGACTTCATAGTTGATCTTTTATGGCAGTTCTCAATTACTTCCCGAAGTTCGCTTCATTTTACGTACTGACTTCTCGCCGTTGTGGAACATTTTAACACAAAATGTGGTTTTAGCTCTAAACCAACAAAGCTAAGCTTTCAAAATTATAACTTAAGAGTTTGTTCATTGATTGCTGGCTTTATATGAGTAATAAGCTGAGAATCTCCGAATATGGTATCTACTACAGATGACCGAAGTGAAGTCGGCCGAGCCGAGCTCGTCCAGCACTTCTCAATCAGCCACTCGAAAGAAACGAGGTTATAAGCGACCCAATAAATCGAAGGTGCTCTCATCTTTCCTTTCAATTAGCTTTAGCTTCTGCCAAGTGATTGTTACTTCAGGAACCCAAGTCTACCCCTACGAGTGCTCCCACGCCACCATCCGACTCGAAAGAGACGATAGCGATTTCTGTCAACAAAGTTAGTCTGATCTTTTGTTTCTCTCCATTTGTTCTGGTCCAAGACTTTGAGCTTTCATGGAAAAAATCTGTTACTCCGTGAGATATCATAGAGCGAGTGAAGTACAGAGAGCTGGATTGTATAGATACCCTATGTTCTATACAAGTGGGGTATGGGCAAAGCAGAGAAGCAGAGCCTTCCCTCCGATTTCTCTAAATAAACCGCAGGAGGATCGAGTTTTTAAAGTATTTCTGGTCCAGTGTTATAATAGTGAGTCCTCTTTTTATCGGAAAAGGTTGATTCATGGTTGATTTGCTGTAACGCGCTTTTCAATATCATCGGTCAATAAATGATTGTTGGAGAAGAAGGCTCTAATGAGGTGTATCTGTATTGATTGAATCAGGCCAGCTTCCCATCTTACTCAATGGATAATAGAGCTTACGATGTACTGATGATATCACGTCAATAAAGTCGAGCCTAGAATTCAGAACTTACCGCTCCGTTGCTACTTTTCTTAATGCGCTTGTACTGAAGGTGGAGATTCATGATCTATTGATTTTGTTTGTCCAGCCATCGATAAAGCCAGATATCTATTGCAATGGACTAAGGATTTTGAGTGAGCCATTCTCGGTATTTTCATGTACCAGCTAGAAAGGTAAGCAATATAGCAAGGCATTCCACTGCCTACGACTTCCTGCTGGACTTTGAAGGAAGGCGATGACTTTTAGCTGCTTTTTACTTTTCTTACTGATCATTTTATTTGTAAGGTAATGATTTTAAACAAGAAAAGGTAAATAAGCTTATCAATTTTAACACCAGTTTAAAAGTTCTTGATTTCACTGAAAGATCATTAGGCGCTTCTTCAACATCCTCACTTAGCTTTTCTACATTGGGAACAATTGAATTCCCGATCAATAGTGCTCGGAAAGGCGTTGAACTAGCAATCTGAGGCTTTAGTCAGTGGGTGCAATTAATAGCGAGTAGTTGGGAATAAGAGCGGAGAACTATGGCTATTCTAGGGATGACAATGTCGCACCTGTGCGGTTCCCTAATGTGTTCCTTCGCTGATTGTCTCACTTTGCATTGCAGTCAACTGGGGAATGTTTCGCTCCTCGCGTCCCCGTTTCATAATTCTAGCTTCAGGTTTGTGCTCTTGCTCTCCACGGCTCCATATCAGCCCATATCACTTGTTATCACTTCCTGTCACTTACCGTTAGTGTTCCTATCCTGCCATTCTATCCCTTTCGACTTTGTTCTTATAATTGTTCAGAGGGACAAATGTTTATACATTTCCGGTCAAGATTCACATCACACAGCAGATTATATCTGATGAATTTTTTTCTTAGTTGAAGCCGTCATTTCGGACTGCGTAATATTGAGGAATATCTATTCCTTTTCCTTGCCTATCACCAAGGGTAATAATGCGGAGAACTCTACATCGGCCACGATGATCAGCAGCAATTTTCATTATATCGGATAAAAGTAGCAGTAGTGGTCCAGCTGCCCACCGATTCCATATCGGTCGTTCTTTCGAAACCAGGGTGAAAGCTGGTTGCAGGCGCAACTTCGGCATGGCAACTACGGTGGCTACACTGCAAGCAAGTACCACCCTCCCAACCCGATTCTCGTATTTCCCCGTTCCTCGTTGCTCAGGAATTTGTTCGAATCTGAGCGGAGATCCGACATTTGTCTGTGATAAACTATGTCAAATTACAACCAAACTTGTTGCTAGATTTATTCTGATGCATTAACTATGAATGTAATGTTTTCAGGAAAACTCTATATCGCTGAAGAAAAAGCGGCACAGTAAAAAGAAGAGCGATGAGAAGCTTAAGGAAGTCAACCCGGTATGAAGCTATTGAATGTCATTTTTCAGTACGTACGTAACGTTTATGAGCGGGATGGTAACAGTTATAATTGAAGAATATTGTAAAGAAGTGTGGATCAGCTTCTCCATCTGAGGGTGTCGATTCGAATGGGAAAGCTGTGCATGATGAAGTTTCAAAGAAGGTAGTCCGTTGTTTACAGAGTGGAGGATCGAAAGCAACCCCATCTTCTTGTAGGTTCGTACCGGTAAAGTGCCAGTCAATGAGGTGATGGGCCGAGGCTATGGCCAGGCTGGTGGCACATTGAAGTCGCAGTCCAACGCCTCCATTGGGCGGACAATACTGCAACGTCTGGTTGGCAACAATGTGGATCCGGAAGCGATATTTAGTGCTGCTCTACGTCAAATGCCACAAGTGCCAGGATTTCCATCAATAAGTGAGTTTTATGGGGATTGGAATTTTTGGGTGAGGTCTGCGGGCATTAGGGCAATGCTGCGATATAGTCTGTGGTTCACGTCCTGCCACTCTATGGTTTTTTGAAAGATTTGTCTCTTCATGTTCCGTGCAAAACAACTTACACTTGTTCTCTACCACGCGGGAGCAGCTAGAGACTACTTGTTCAACTTCTCAGTAATGTGTTGAATTCGTTCTCAAAGAAGTCGGCAGCCTATGAATACTATTCAAGAATGCGCTGCAAACTACAGTGAGAATATAAAAACGAAATGCGGGACAAACACCCCTACGTACAAGCAGTACCTAAGGTGTTCGGTCCCGAAATTTCGTTTTGAGCTAACTGTGGCCAGGTGAAGTACGAGCTTTACAGCTGTACAGTGCTTCGATCTTAGCTCGAACAACCCAGCCGATGTTTTGGACGCGTGTATTATGCTAAAAAAAATGTGGAATTTAAGGTGTTGCCAGTGAAGTCCCACGTGTCGCATTTCAAGGTGAAAATGTATTTGGGGGATGCCAGCGCATCTTTGTGCTCTGCGTCTCTGACACCAGGCGGCAGAGTGCATGGAGAGCGCAGAGATGCTTTCCTCCCCTTCTAAAAGTTACGAGAGGAGCACCGGGGTGGGAGAGAGCTGAGCAAGCTTTACAGCTGCACAATGCTTCTACCCATCGTAGGGAAAAAAACGAACGGAGAATAAATAATACGGACGATGACGGAGAATATAAACAGAGAAAATCAAAGAGTATGTATATACACGTTTCAAGTATGATGGCTGGAGAAGTTGATCAGTGGTGAAGGGGACATCACGTATCATCATTATCCAAATCTGGGACTTTGTTTAAACGCGAGCAAACCAATATCGCACTCGCGATGAAGATTTCCAATCAGAAGACAATTAGAAGCGTTCGATTATAGTTCGATTTAAAAAAAAATGTAGTTGCCACCTAAGCCGAGAGATGGGAGAAGCATCGGAGTGGGTGAGATTACGTTGGGCAAAAAAGTGAGATGGAGTAAGAATAAAACTCGATTGGCTCACCCACCGCTAATGCTCCTTCCCTAGTAATGGTGAGTCAAAAAAAATTTTACTTTCCTAGATAGGAACTAAATACCACCATCAGCTCGCGAACTCGACTACACCTCTCTTCTTCTCTGCCCTCCAGTGCCTTATGTTAGAAGAGAGCGGCCTCCCCTTCTCCCCAAATACTATTATTGCGAAGATACATCGAGAACAAACACCCTCACATCATTTGAATTCACGCGAATCGGTGTAACCAATATTTATCAGTCATTATCGAAACTGCAAAGTGGAAGTCCAATCGTCTATTCCTCGCAACTTTGCACGCTCTACAATTACAGTCCGTGGAAACAGACCGACAACAGACACGCTTAGCTGCTATGTATGGTCTGATTGTTGGAGTGTGTTGTAACAACAAATTAATACGTCCTTTCGAACGGTCCTCCCAAGGAAATGGCAGAATTCCATAAAGGTTAGGAACGCGAGGTCGCCGGTTGTTGCCATGCAGGATCCCTCCTTTCACTCCTCTTGCAAATGAAGTCAATTGGAAACTGAGTGATGACAAAATGAATAATCAGATAACGATTATTTAGCTCATCGTCCTGACTCAGGACCTCACTCAACCGTGTTTCGTCCGGAGCTGTTCAAGACCACAATGGAGGCATACGCATCAGCAACGACGCAGTGCGGCTCGGACATTTTCAGTGGATTCCGTGAGATCGTTTTTGCTTCCTACTGGGTGATGCTAAGAATTTTTCCTTCGCATCCGATTAACATGAATTGGATGTGTGCATTTATGTCCGGTTCCTCTCCATTTGTGATGCAGTGCCGGATCCTTTAAATGAACTGGGTTTACCCTTTCCAACAATAAAATTTCAATGGGCGCCTTTGTAGTGCGACGCCAACGTCGGCCTCATAACGTCGATGTGGGTATCAGCTCAGGGGTGGGTAAACTAGGGGGTTACTGTAGCAGCCGAGTGCCCGTACTAAACTTTCGTTTCTATCATGCCATAGATATTCATTGGGTAACTAATATCTGATTAATCGTTCTACGTTACTCATAAACTCGGGCTTAATAGTGCAGAGACATTGACAAATCAAGGCTATTTTTCAGAGTGGCTTCAGTAGTAACCAGGCGGCTACGCACGCTATCGCGTGCGCTAGGGGCTCTAGCCATGAGAAACGGAGCCACATGAGCTGATTTTCGTTATATCGGATTTATGAGTTTCCGCTCAAATCCCGCCTCCTGTGGGCGGGGTCTGGTCCTGCCACCCACCATAAGTGTTCCAATCCTGTCGCCTGTACTCCTACCAAGTTTGAACTTTCTAGGTCCATGAGGACAGGAGCTATGAATCTTCGCCCAAACCCCGCCCTCTATGGACGGAGTCTGGTTCTGCCACCCTTTCTCCAAGCCGAGTTATAAATGCTTTCATAAGGCATTGCATTTTTGGAGAACGCCCCGCTCATTGGGGGTGGGTCTCCCCAGTTATATCTAACTTACCAATGCAGACCTCTAGCCACCCTTACACCCCAATTTTGAAGCCGTCTCGTGGCTGAATTTGAAACCATGGTCCTCAGTTCAGATCATTTCGACGCACGCCACGCCTACTATGGGCGGGTATCCGCCAAGCTGATGTGTGCTTTATACTTCTCGGGACATGGCTCACTCATCCCACGCTTGACCCGTCTCTACAGGCAGATCTAAAGGAGCTAAGGAATTTCGTGACAGACATACAGACAGACGACAGACAAACAGACTAGGCGTTTTATAAGCAGGATAGTGTCACGGTGCAAAATTGTGTTATCTTTGATATCTGGGTTCATAAATCGCATTCGCTAATGGAAATGATCTCCATGATTTATGATCAAGTTGGAATAAGATTACTGTTGCAAGTATGCTTAGCAACAGACGTGATGTAATGAATGGAATGTAGTTATTGTGATGAAGTGTGTGGTTTTTATTACGTTGAAAGGTTGTTACATAAAAAGAGAAAACATTTGTCAAATATTCCATGTCAAAGGCACTCTGTAAAGGTTCCAATCACTACATTCATGCAATGAATCAGTTGTAGACGGGAAACTTGGTTGAAGCAGGCATCGCTTTGTGTTGCTGCAAACGCGCTATCATCATGAACATCTCTCATCTGTTGGTTCTGCCCTGTTGGATCCGCAACTTACCCTGGGCCTCACCATCATGCTCTTTCCTTTTTCTTCAATACTGTGGATTTTTAGGTCATGATGGTCCATACTGTCGCGATAGTCGACATTGTGGACGTGGAGCTGCGCTGTCTCCAGACTTTCTGTTGCCATGGGTGAACTTCTCACCAATGTTCCCATTGGATCGAAACATGACTTCATCTGGCCGTCCACCACAGCCGCCACCGCCAACTTCACAATCCCATCACTCCACTCATTCGAATCCTTACAGTCTGTTTTATTTTTCATTATTTTTTGGTTTGCGTGCATTTTGATTGTGACTTACTATCAGGTCATCCATTGCTATACAAGAGCAGCACACAAGGTGTAGGCCACCATGGTGCTACGTCTTCATCACGGCGGACCGTCTCTCTCAGCTCGTCTAGTTATAGGCCTCCGAGCACTTATCCGACAAGCAGATCCAAGTACAGTCGAAGAACTTTTTCTTTGTTTGCAACTGTCAACGCTTCATTTTCTAGCACTAGTATGTCACTGTATCAAAGCTCGAGTCAGACAGTTGGGGTGGCGAGTAATCAAAAAACACGCAAACCCTACTTCATGCCGTATATGAGCCTTGAAGCAGTAACAAGAGGATTGGCTAATGGCGACTTAGTGAAGGTGTGCGTTTAAGCTTCCAGTTTACATTTTTAGCTTGGATACAGGATAGCGGAGGTAGAGGATGAGGGACTTTTTTGAAACGCGTGTACATTTGCGCAAAAATTGCCTTTACTATGCAAAACCAAATAACATAAAGGCTGATTTTATTGTCTTTTCCCCAATCGTATCTTGTGTATGGCTGGTAGAACAGATCGATTGTAGGACAGGTTGGTATTATACATGCGGTTGTACTATCTCTTGTCATGAACTAAATGCAAAATATTTCTCTTGTTCAAATGTTCAAATTAAGAATGCTGCAGTATTACGTGGTCCTAAGGCAATTTACAGCGGCAATCGCAAAGTTACATATTCTAAAATTCATTTGCTACAAAACAGTAGGATTTTGCACTCATATCATCGCAATCTATTCAGGGTTCGCTTTGTGTGAATCAGCGTAATTATGAAGAATCTTATGTGGACAATCCCGATGGCGATGACCAGCTGGACCTTCTCATTCTTGGCGTCCATGATCGAAATAGAGCATTGCATGGTGATGTGGTTATTGTGCGCGTTAAAGAACGCATGAACTGGGTGGTAAGTCAAGCTCGATGTGTGCAAAAAAAAATGAAAATTTTCGCTATATTTGTTAAGATCCGTGAGAATTTGTACCAAGCATGGCGCGCTGGCCATTTAAATGTCTCTCGCGAAGACAATGGGCAGCCGATCACAATTCCGCCTGTAGCGGCTCCTAAGTCGGACGATCTCGTTGAAGTGAGTTAGTAGTTCATTTTCAGAAGTTGTAGAACTAAAAATGACAACGCGTACTCAACCTGCTATTAAAGAAGCGCGTAGAAGTAATGATTGCATCTGGTGAAGTCCTAACTTCGTTTACTCAACAGCTGTGGACGTGAACTAAGGCGCGGTTCTCAATAAACTAAACGTAGTTAATCCTCTGCTTTCACCTATCGTTCTACTATAATCGAACCTTGAAAGGTCTCAATCGGAGGACTGGCTGATCCACATATCAGAAAGGCGAGCCTGAATCTCAAAATTCCTGCAAATAAAGAGCGTAAGTATAGTCGACAGGCAATGGTCATCATTGGAGCTCAGGTATATAGGAGCGCATTCTATGTAAAATGTGTGCCGGAGTAGAAATTCTACATGAGCCTACCTAGTATAAGTTTGGCTTTATTATTCAGCTCGAAATAGCTCGACGGGAGTCTCTATCCTCCCAACTTGCAGCCACTCTGCCTATCGTTCATCCTAGCCTACCTCCTCCAGATGTCCAGGTGAGGTCGTTACATCTTCTATTCTTATATAAACAAACCTTTCGCAGAAAACTATTGATTCACTATCGATTGGTCGCATGGGTGACTTTGGTGCTTCAACAAGCGCACAGTTGGCAAGAAAGCTCCCCGGAGTAGCGAAGCGAACTCAGATTGTCTCAAGTGGGAAGAGAGCTGCATACCGAACTCTATCGGAAATGCCCGATGAAGATTGGGGTGTACCAGATGTGTGTCTTCAGAAGACTGCAGAGGTGGTTCTTACATCTCATTAGATTTCATCTTCCTGTTCTTGATTTCGATTAGGAGCAGCCCTTTTATTTCTGCTCTTTATTCTTTTCATCGGCTGGATTCTGCTACTACACAAACGTGTATTATTTCCTAAAATGAGGTTTCTAGGTGATGTATATAATGGAGATGAAGAATTGTCGCGCAGCAATGGGTCAGCTGAAGGTGATGACAGACGGAAATCGCAATTGGGCACTTTTCTCGCCCACTGACTCCCGCATGCCGCGCATGATGATACCGGCTGATCAGTTGCCTTCTGGATTTTTCGAGAGGCCACAAGTAGAGAAATTTGTTGATAGGCTTTTTTTAGTAGTAGCTTGGCTAAGTTTCATGTTCAGGATTTTGCTAAATTCATGTTCGTCGCAAGAATGGTGGAATGGCAAGCAACTGCTCAGTTTGCGCGAGGGAAATTAGAACGTACGCTTGGTGTAGCTGGAGATGTAGAGGTGAATGAGGCTGCCTACCTTTTGAGAACATTTGAGAACATGCTTTACTGCTATTTCGAAATATTGAATGTGAAGGTTGGCTGGTAAATGGACGTTAAGGTGGACTGGTCAGTAAGTATCCTTGTCTGTTCATGTTGGGGTAGACCTTTTTTTGATTGACTTCTTTCTTGCTGCCGCAGCGCTTAGTGAGTTCCATAAATTTTGCCACTCAGATGCCACATTTTGCCTTAGTTGGTAGGATTCATTCCCTTTTTTATAGCATACCATTCGCTATTTCTCGCAGAGGTTCATTCTATTTCTATGGTTCAAAACATAAGCATCATTTTGCATTCCACTCGTTCTACCGAACATCCTATCGCAGTCAGTGGTTCAGTTCTCTCCTTATAAGATTCCTCACAAAATCATCATACGTCATGAAATAGCAATACAGGATTTCAGTGAACACATGTCTCGATCTGTTGTGCTCGTGCCTTGCAGTCGGTCTTAACTAGGTTTTCAGGCTGAAACCGAAGGTCTGCTGTTCTCCAATAATGTCGACACACGTGAATTTTCCATGTCCGTGATGCATTGCCTTCCGATTTTTGAGACGAAGCAGTGGACCATAGATGAGGTTGTCCAGTTTTTTAAAATAGTCTTCCTTTGGAGAGTACCTTCAGAAGGAAAAATTGGGCGAGGTTTTCGATGAGCACACGATTCCTCTGACACAAACTTCTTTATTATTTGTAACGCATCAGTACTTCTTCAGCATATGTAGTCAATATAAGCACCGGAAACAAATGTTGAAGAGGTACCGAGGTATTATGGATAATAGGTATTTCAAAGAAATCGTGTATTGGTCAAAAGCTTGTGCCCCTCGCCGTAGAAACTTTCAGCTCGTTCGCTTCTGCTTTCTGATTGGTAAAGTCGACGTTGACAAATTCAATTTTCAGAAGGAATTTAAATATCGCCGTGATCTTCGTGATAGCATTATATTCACCATTAGCGCAAGAGATTCACACGAATTAGATGATGCTCTGTCTATCGAAGAATTAAGCGATTGTGACGGTAATGGAACTCCTGGATTTGAGGTTAGTTATGAGGGAGTTGATGTGTTTGACGGCTGGCGCGAGTTGGCAGTAGTAATTCTTCGGGCGGTAATTCACTCCTTCGAATCTATTTTGAAGTTTATCCAGTTTTTTTTTCTAGGTTGGTGTTCACATTGCGGATGTATCACACTTCGTATTTGAGAACACTGAATTGGATGCATGGGCTGCAAATAGGGCTTGTACTGTGAATCTTGTTCATAAGGTGTGTAAAGTGGCGAAGATTATTTAAAGTTGCGTGCTTTATTGAGAGTGACGACAGTCATGTTTCATGTGAAAACATTTGAGTAGCCACTGTTCCAGTCAATTCCGATGTTGCCGAGAGTGCTCACTGAAGATATGTGCAGTCTGATTCCTGGCAAAGATCGTCTTGCTCTATCAGTGATGTGGAAAATGGATAAGACTGGAACCATTGTCGAAGAATGGTTTGGCAGGACAATCATCCGTTCGCGGGTCCATCTTGGTTATGAACATGTACAGGTACGGTGGGAAATATGTGGCGAATTCATAAACGCAGGATCGTTACTTTCTGTGTGAACTCTTGTTTTGTTTGTACGCATTTTTTTTCATCATCGACATTATTAAGAACTTCATCGAAAGTCCAGAAAAGTCATTTGAGGACGACGAGTATCCGAAAGTTGGAGATGGAGCCTCTCTAACAGAAATAAGGAGGAAGGTAATCATGTTCCACCATATTTGAAATACCGATATTATACGGCGAGTAGTAATGTTGGCCTTTTTGAACCTTTGAAGTTAATTTTAATAGTATACTGTACAATCATAGATCTTCAGGGAAGTGTATTTGTTGTTAAATTAACAAAGAATTCTAGTCGTAGTCAGTCTTGGTCATTTATCTTTTACAGTGCTAAGGCATTGACGTTGAATGTATGCAACGGTTGGTCAGGCTACGTAGTCTGACACATGAGGAGTAGAATATGTTTCGTAGTATCATGACATATAATCTGTCGAACAATCCTTTCTCGCGCGTATCTTTTAGGTAATGCAATTGCACATGCTCGCTCGTCGTTTACGGTCAACTAGAGTGAAAAATGGTGCACTGCGTATCGAGCAGCCAAAATTGGTCTTTTCGCTGAATCCTGAAACGAAGCTGCCTTATGCGGTCAAAGCCGAAGAGGTCTTGTTTTTTCCATCGTTCTATACAAGGGAAACACGAAAACACTTCCATGGCATCATTTGAAAAGAGGGGCTTAGATTTTTAGCCACAAGATTCGCACAAATTAGTGAAGGAGTTTATGCTGTTGGCAAACATTGCTGTGGCAACGAAAATAGAGGCTCACTTTCCGAAGACTGCATTCCTGCGACGCCATTCCCCACCAAAGCAAAAGGTGCTGCGCGAAGTGGTGAGTTAGCCAAATGTTCTGAGTATTGTAAGTTACTAACTAGTTGCAGGTCATAAGTCCACCCAATGTTTTGGAGTGTGTAGTAGCTTTCAGGGTTCCTAGCTATTTCATTGAATGAAGTATGAAAGGTTCACGAAGAATGAGGGGTGGTCTGAACTAAGTAAATTCGAAGACGTAATATCTTGGTTTTCAATCCTCAAAGCATTTGTTTCGTTTTTATGGTTTTTGTACGAAGTATAATAATCCTTCGAACCCTGTTGTTTCAAAGCTCAGCATTCCCCTTCGGCTCAGAAAGAATTGGAGAAAGACACACTGCTAATGGTGACAACTCGGAAAAATTTTTTGACATCTTTCATTGTAAGGAACTACCTCATTTAGATCGCTGTTAAGGTATACATCAACTAAAATGAACAATACTTCTACCCAATACAAAATTTATCGTCCTTTTTGTGATTATGAGGGAAAGGAGAGTTGAACAGTAAGGTGGAAGAGCTTCTTGTGATTCATTTTTACGTCTGTCACCAGGTTGGGTAGATGTTCGAGGGTTTCCTATCTATTTCCATTACATTCTTCAACGTACGTGAACGAGTTAGGCTGACGCGAACCGCTCGAAGGCCTGATGTTGTGATGATGCGTTTTGTCGTCTACTGTCCTCCATATGTTCTACATAATATTCCATGTGCGCACAATCAATGCTATCCCCGAACTTGTAAAATGATTGACCGTTATGTTTCAGCTTGAAGTATGCGAGAAAATTGGCTTCCCATTGGATGCGGCATCTTCAGCTCGACTTGCCTCATCATTAAGCAAATTTCAAGGAGGAAATTCGCTGTTGCAGTCCATAAATCAGGTAAAACTTGTTGCTTGATTGACTGTTGCTAATAAGAGTAAGAACTCATTCCTATGATCAATATTATAGGTGTTATCAATGTTGTTGGCGAAACCAATGCAGATGGGCTATTACCTCTGTGCAGGTTCGGCGAAAAAGAAAGACGAGTATCATCATTACGCATTGAATGTACCGCTGTAAGTTCGAGGTTGTTGTTCATTTTACGATAGGATTACTTCTCCCTTTGTTTTGTTTTTACACAATCATTGACAGCTATGCAGAAATGGGAGCATCTGCGTATCTTCTGTTTTTCTGTTCGCTTACTCCATCGCCCTTATTCCTGTCATGGTTAAACGGTAGCGAAGTTTAGGTGTCGCGTTAATGAGAAGTTCAGCCTTATAATACTTAAGAGTCGTTCGTAATGTCGACATCGGTAAACCAAAGAATAGCAAAGCCGACGAGAAGTAGAGAAATCTGCAATCAGCAGCATTGTCGCCATTTCACCAATTGCTGATTCCCATCAACTATACAACCGGAGCTAGCAGCGAACTTTTCGTCCCGTGTTTTCACGAATATATGATGATGAAAAGCAACTGTGAGGCTGCCGTGTGTCTACAAATCTGCCTGCAGCGAAGCTCGTGAAACCTAACCGGGTGTTGAGAGAGCTTCTTGTACTGCGCTGGATTGTGTATGCAAGCCATGGAAGCAATTTGATTGTCTTATAGATCATAGATTCCGTTGCTTATTGGCTCTCTTCAGGTTTTAGACCGCGTTACCATAGCATGGATTCAGTCAGTGTGCAAAATCTCGGAAAATCTCTCCTATTTCTAATTCTAGGTATACGCACTTCACCTCGCCAATGCGGCGTTATGCAGACATAATTGTACATCGTCAGCTGGCTGCCGCTCTTGGTTACTGCCCACCAACCGAAAAGACTGTTGCTGATTTGGAGAGGCTTGTAGGTGCTCAAGTTACTTCAACATTCTAGCATGTGTATAAACCGTTCAATTAATCAGGCCCAACATTGTAACGATAAAAAACTAGCGGCTAAGGCGGTAAGCGATTCGAGTGATGACACGTTCTTTGGCTTAATTGTGAAGGTAAGTCGGTTGTTCATGTTTCCAATTTCGATTTTCTTGGACTTTATGTGCTCTTCAACTCACATGTCTGAAGTTTCACCTAAGATCTCTAAGTATTTTGAAAGAAATCACCTGAGCTCCATCCTTTTCCTTTTTTCTTTTCTAAAAGCAGCTTTTCTCAGCAAAATGGGCCCATCGAAGCTCGTGGCGTTGTGATCAGCGTGATGGATGCTTCGTTTGACGTGTTGGTCTTAAAATATGGTGTAGTAAAAAGAGTCTATGTGAATGTGAGTTTCTGCTACTTCAAGCTCATTCCTGAGGGAACACATTACATGTTTATGATGGATAGTTATCTGATAATTAATTACATTGTAGAGTAAACTAATACTGTCGCATATCAATTAGTGTTGATATTTAGCGCCTGGACATGGCGAGAGATCCTATTTTCATCGACGGCCCACCTGCTCAGTTGACTTTGTTCTGGAATCCGCCCCTAGCTGGAGGACAAGAGCGCAACAACGCGGTGATCGAGCAGACGATTCAAATGTGCACGGTGGTGGACGTGATACTAACAGCGTTACCTGAACCGACCAAGTATCAAGCTCTGATTAGAATGCGTCGACAGTCCGAAACGCACACTCTGCTTGAGCTCATGGAAGGCACGGCCTGAGTTTTACAGATTGCTTAGTGTTCTATTGAGAATGCAGAGAAGAGTACCTAGTGATGTTTTAGTCAATAATCTACATAGTTTTTATTCCATAAAAATGTCTGGTGTCAATCGTTTTAATCATCTATTTAGGTGGTTATTCCCACAAAGATGTGGTTGTTGTCAAAATTCTAATCCTTTTTTGGTTACTTATCATGTAAATACGTAGTCGTCATGTGTTGCTTTCCAATCCTCATTTGTTCTGTGATGTTTTGTTGTATTTGAGTAGAAGTTTTTGTTGTAATTTCAGAGTCACTTGAGAGTTCTATTTGGTTATTAAACGTTGTTGAAGAAAACCGAAATGTTAAAATTCGCGTTCACTAACCGCTTGGAATTTCTTGAATAGTGGTTGACTGAATCAAAAGAAACGCCTCAGAACAGAGCGAGTTTCTTGGAGACGTTCTGAACTATGCGCGTGGTGGTGGTTGTCGTTAAAAGAGGAAATCACACAAAAATCAGGAACTTGCTTACGGTTTCCAACGGAGGTCATTTCGAGGAAAAGGCGCCTGGCGGAAATCACTAGATCCATCACCCGTGAGTGTAGTTCCGCGTAGGAAGCGGCGCGAGTAAGAAATTTTGCTGGAAACATTGCGCCCGACGGAATCGTGACATCTTTTCCCACTTTATCTCCAAGTTGGTGGGCAATCGTTCCGACCAGTGCTATGCTTCGCTACTGTGATTGTGTGTAATCACTCTGACAGAATCTGACGTCTTCCCCAAGTGGATGCTTTCTTGTTTGGATGCTTGAATGGATCAATACAAGCGGACCTCTTTGTATCCACCTTTCGAGTATCTTCTACTTATCCGGCTCATGCGATCGTGCGAGTATGCAAGTCAAGCATCTAATTAATTTAATAAACTCTGAGCAGTGGAAACGAGTGCTCCCTTAGGAATTTCTAGCACGAACCCTTCAAATATCATAAGAAAAAGGCACTGGCTGCTTTCATAGTGGCGTGCAAGGCGAGGTAGTGCTAGGAGGGAGGAGGGAGGCAGACCGTCGGTCGACGCGGTCACGTCGCGCCCAAGCCCCTTCGAAGGGCTGAAAATAAAGAAAAACAAGATCAAAAACCAAACAACCAGAGGCTTGTGCGAATGGTCTTTGATCTTGTTTTTCTGGTGCTAAGTGGGTTGGGGGAAGGGGGGGCTACGCGGCGGCGCGGCGCCTTTTCATGTCCGCGCCCTCTCCGGCGAGATAGTAGACAAGGAAGGATAGGCTAGCCCGTAATGGTGTTTAGGGACGTTTCATAGCTCTTTTATGGGTGCTAAGTGGGTTGGTGGGGGCCACGCGGCGCCTTTTCATGTCTGCGCTCTCTCCGGCGAGATAGTAGTACTGGGCCTGAGTTTGGGAAGGGATGGTGAGGTTGTACTGAAGTGTTTCGTTATTCAAAACAAATTACCTCTTGGCACATGTTATTCGCTTGCATACTGTGGATACTCTTCTTCTGAGCCCATAAAACCTATTGGTGCTAAGTGGGTTGGGGGGACCACGCGGCGCGGCACCCTGCGCTCTCTCCAGCGAGATAGTAGTGGGCCTGAGTCTGGGAAGTAATGGTGAGGTTGTACTAATGCGTTTCGTGATTCAAAACGAACTAACTTTTGGCACATATTAATATGCTTGCATATTATGGATACACTTCTTCTGAGCCGGTAAAACTATTTTTTGAGAAGGGGAGGGGCTCTGGGGGTGGGTGAGATGGTTGCTCGTGCAAAAAGCTGAGATGAGATAAAAGTTGAACGTCCAATAGGCCCACCCACCCCGGAGCCCTCTCCCTCTTCCTAAAACTAGGTGAAAAATACACAGTTACAACATAAAAAACTATGAAACGTCCCTAAACTCCTTTTCGAGCTTCCTTCTCTACTATCTCGCTGGAGAGCGCATGGTGCCGCGCCGCCTGCCGCGCCGCGTGGTCCCCCCAACCCACTTAGCACTCGTTTTTCTTTGTTTTCAGCCCTTCGAAGGGGCTTGGGTGCGACGCGACCGCGTTGACCTACCGTCTGCCTCCCTCCTACACCCTAGCACTACCTCGGCTGGCACGCCGGCACGCTGGCGGACTTTGAAAGCAGCCACTGGTTGGTTTATGTTGCATGTTTATGTTGATGTTTGTCTAATGTTCACATGTATCACCTGTCGCCCCGCCTCTTCATTATCGATTTCCGAGCGCCCGTCTCCACTCGTCCTTCTCGCGAGCCACCGTAGTCCAGTGGATCGTCCTCATTGGCTGCTTACAGACCTCAACGATCCATCCGACCAACCTTCCGACCGTCGGTTCAACGCGTGAGCGATGGCGGTCGCGTGCGTGCTGCGACGGCGGCGCCTGACCGTTTTTGGCAACACTTGGTATGGGTACATACGTGCGTCCGAGGATGCGCGTGGCCAATTGCGCGGCGAAGTTCGTGGCGATTCGAACGGCTCTGGCGCCTATTATTGGGGCACAAACTTGAAGTAGAGTTGTTAAGTAAGGTTAGCCGATCCTACTAATCGAGTCTACTTCAAATTTGGGCCCCAATGATAAGCGCTAAACCCGTTTAAATAGTCACGAAGTTCGCCGCGCGATTTGCTGCGCGCATCGTCGGACGCACATAAGTTCCGCCCCCCGGCAACACTAGTTCACGTGCTAGAGCTGTCAACGCTACTCTCGTGCCGCCGTCGCAGCACGCGTTGTACGGACGGACGGACGGTCGTCGAAGTCTGAAAGCGGTCATCCGGGGAACATGGGTCATATCATTTCTATTACTAATAAGCTTCGTGAAGAATTTTGACTATCGGCGGCAGTCCTGTTTTACGTTCTGAATTCAGCAACCGCTCCAATCCAAAGGTCATCATGATATCGTTAACATGTCCGGCCCACCCGATCCTCGATTTCTTGGGAAAAGATACCCTGATCTTCGTTCATTGACGGAGCTCCGAAGATCGCATTCCCTTCTGCACTTGAGTGTATAGGAAAGTTTTGAGCATCGTTCTTCCTAAAGCGCGCTGAATAACGCTGACAGCATGCTCATCCTGCTTTCGTAGAATCCAAGACTCCTAGGCGTCGTCAAAGCGTGAAGGACAGCTGCGTCGAAAAGGTGAGCCGGATGTTGTTTGCCTTCTTCACTACTCCCTTGGCATTCTTGATGCTCCCCATGCCGCGCGTTTCCGTCTGCTCAGCATCGAAGGTCGGTCGTTCATTACGTTGATGCACGACTTAGTTACACATTGCTAGAGCTTCGGACATATCCATTCCGCTTACCGTGAAGGGAGCACTAGGTTCCAATCCGTTTTTCATGAACATCGTCTTCGTTAGGTTCAGTCTTATGCCGTCTTTCCACAATAATTATCAAACTCGACCAGCATTCGTTCCGCTTGCTCGATGTTATAACACGGAGTCGTCTGCAAAGCGGAGAAGATGTAAGTAGCATCCGCCCACCTTTACTTCCAAGGCCGCTATCCCCTTCACTGCCAAGTCTTCCCATCCCAAATAGTGTTCTAGGGAGCGGCATTGTAAAGAACTTGAAATGGATAAAGGCAGAATTTTCAAAACACACGAAATTGCGAATGCACTCGGCCAACTGACTTTAGGGTGGAAAATCGTTTGCACTAGGCCGCGAAACTCGTGGCATAACGCTCTTCGCAGTCAGTCGACGTTAGTCATTGGCATCTTTCATAGTCCACGACCGGTCGCTAGCGACTGGTCGCTCGACTGGTCACTCGACTGATCGCGCCGCTGGTCGCTCGATCGGTCGAGGAGGCCGCGCTAGTTATGGGTGTCGCCGTGGAC